TCCTTATCAGTGATTGTCGCGGCCAAGCGAATATTCACTGCTGATCAGTGTGCGTTACCTGTAATGCTACTGTATTAAACCTGAACTCCTAATGTATAAAATTAGGAAAACAGAATATAGATTAACTCTAGCTACTATTCATCTTTTAATGGCTCAATACCACTCTTGTTGTAACTGAATAATATGTCCCAATCTTTATTCTCGTCAACAAATTGTACTATTTTACAATATTCCAATTAATTGATGATACAAATTTCATCTTAACACACCTAATTTAAAAAATTGGAAAAATTCAACTAAATGATTTGAAAAGCCTGACGTAAAGCCTTTCAAATGTGACTTGGATTTAAAAATATTTTTGAACCCTCTGGACAAGTAAAATAGGATTTAATGGATAATTTACACAACAGGTAGGACACTAACACATCTAGTACTTAGAATAAGGCTGTTTCTTATTTTCTGGAGCTGTCAAGCCAGCAAGAGTGTTATTGTCCCTTTAATCAAACCTACCTGTACCTGTCCTAATCTTTTCGTAAGTACCTGTACAGTGTACATGTATACATATATATACATGTACATGTGCATGTAAGGCAACAGTTGTGTGATTTAATATACAGAACATGTTTATGTAACATGTATGTGCAGTGCATTATCCTCTAAATTTAAACATACATTACGTAAGAGCTAAAACTGTCTATTGCAGGTCTTTCTTTAGGTATGACATGTTATATAAACTATTAATTAGACATTAATGAACTTATCCAGACCATAATCAACACTCAATGCCATCTTATGTGTCCGAGGCTACATGATTTTAAAATGAGTTTTTTTCAGCTTAGAGTGAAGCAATTACACTGAAATTTTTAGCATAATCCTTTTTCATTATCTAGTTTTTATTTACATGTATTATAGTGAAAACTACCAGCTCTTTATCTAATCTCCCATAATGTATCTTTTTAGCTTGTTTTCTATACATCTCTTGTAAAATGTGAGCGTATAGTGAGAACAGTAGTCTACATGTACAGGAATATCAGTCCAAAAAATAGTTCTATTCCATTCAATAATTACATAGACATTATGCAAATCCAAAAAAATGTCAACATTCAATATGATTTTCACTGAAATCTTTAGATGGACATCTTTTTTTTTTAAAGGAGCTAAATCGCTAATATTTGGGACCTAGAAATTGACACAAATGGTACGCAACACATATAATAATGTAATTATGAATGTATATAAACTGATTTACATTCAATCGTTTTTGTTTTTTACTCTAATTTCTAATAAGTAACAATATGCCAGAAGTCTCAATCGAATGGCAATCTCTTGCGTCTAGTTATTCCAGTCTACACCGATAGTATTTATTTCGCATGCTTTCCAGATAAGAAAATGGCGTCACCGTTTGAATATTTTGTCTTAAATATTGGATAAAAAGTTCATCTTTTCCCGGTAAGGTAACAAGATAATTTGTGTTTTCAATGTCGAAGACCTTGGATGATATTGAGTTAGAGACTGAGCTACATGTATTATAAGTGCAATGCTGAATTTACACCCATGAGTGTAAATTATTCAAGTGTAATGTGCCTGGTTACACAGCAACTTATTTGAGTATAAGCTTAAAGTCGCCCTAGTTGACAGTACATGTACTTAAATCCTGACTTCCATGTACATGTGTGTACTTACTACAGGCAATCCTACTTTTTTACAAACTATATTTCCTATTTGGGATTAACTGTACATAATAATAATAACTGTTCTCCCACATTAGATGATGTTATTATATGATATGATAGAGTCGTAATTGAATGTAAGATAGGTGTCATATATTATACCTGTGTCATTGTTATCATTGAGTGAAGGGCTTGATTTAATGTTTAGACTACTGGAGGTGTGCCATATACTCACTGTATATACATGAAACTATGTACCCTGTAGGCTTTATAAACTGTAAGTCGCATAAATGTTACATATATAGATAAAATATATTTATATGAAAATAATAAGCTGATTTATAAACAGATAACAGTATTTTATTTTTACACCCCCATATCTTGTTTTAATATTTCAAAATCATGTTATAACTCGTATGAATTTATCATTTATCATATAAATTATTGACATTTTACAAATAAAAACAGAATGTTGACACATTGTAAGAGAGAGAGAAATGGGGTTTAACGTCCACTTGACACAAACTAGGTCATTTCGGGACTAACATACATGTATGGTTCAATTTTATTTCAATAATTCGCTTGTGTGTAGGGGTCTTTAGCAGTAGGAGGAAACCGTAGGACCTGGTGAAACCAACGATGTTGATCAGGCGACCCTACTCCTTGTCATGTACATGTACAACCGGGGAATCGAAACCACACCAGTTGACTCAATCAATGACAGACCTTATGATACATTCGGCCATTAATATTTGTTTATTTTTTGCATGTGTGCTATGCTATTGCACATTTTAACCATTTGCCCCCTTCCCCCACCCTTCACCCCAAATGCAATTAAGAGTGAATGTATAAGCTTGCTGTCTTTACAATCAAACACATGTACATTAAAGGTAGTAGAATAGGTAGGATGGGGGAGATGGGGAACACGGGCACCTAGAAAAAGAAGGAGTAGGAGTGCACATATGTACATATGTACATGTACATGTACATGAATGTACATGTACATGTACATGAAGGCCTACAATGTAATGACTACTGTATTAAAAGTACATGTAACTGTGGCTTACAATTACAAGATCTGGTTGACGGTTTTAAACTTTAGAAATGGACTAGTGGACTTATTTCATAGTTTTTTTTGAATTTGTCTGTCACCTCATGTATCCAATCAGGTAAACAATCAACAGAAAATATCTAAATAAACTTAATACTCGACTCCATGATGGGATTAATCTAGATTTTATCAGATTAAGATAAGATTTGACATACTTATATTATTATCAAACCTAAGCTTAAAGAATTAATTCCACTTAAAGTCATTAAAGTACAACAATGTAATCAACTATGTTATATTTAAGTTAAAATTAAAGATACATTATGGGAAATTAAATAACAAGCTGGCAGTTCTCACTATAATAGTTAAAAACTAGATGATGTAATGGGAATATGCTGAAAATTTCAGTCAAATTGATCCACTCTGAACCTAGAATTTAGCGATTAAAATTTAGGCCTAGCCTCAATCATCATTACTAAAGTCGGTACAATAAAAAAATAGTCTCGATTATCCATTTTTCGATTGAATAATGAATGAGCGTTGAGCAGCAGATCAGATTTTAATCAAGTAAATATCGCAGGCTAGCGTTGACATCGAGAGTTGATTATGTTCTGGATAGGTAATTAATAATTAAGATAACATTTTAGGCCTAAAGAAAGACCTGCAATAGTCAGATTTAGCTCTTGCATAATGTATGTTTAAATTAAAATTAAAAATACAGAAGCATCAGGCCTACTTATTATCAATTATCTACGGTATTGAGTGATAATGTCTTCCTGTAATATAATATAATAATGTATATTTTTACCCAATGTTGGTGAGTAATGCCAAACTATTAATAGTGCTACTGGTAAAAATACTTTTATTATATACAGTCATTATTGAATTTGTCCACCAATGTTCTTTTACACCATACATGTACCTTCCTGTGGTACCAGGTTATTCACTATACATTTAACATGTACAGTACATACATGTATACCTTATACAGGCCTAACTGGGTGGTGGCTACCTTCCTGCGGCACCAGGTTGTGTGCTATACAGTACCGGTATACAAGTTAAACTGGGTGGTGGCTACCTTCCTGCGGCACCAGGTTGTGCGCTATACAGTACCGGTATACAAGTTTAACTGGGTCGTGGGTGGCTAGATACAAGTCCATCTAAAAATGTCTGTGTCCATGTAATATATATATATATATAATAAAAAATGTGCTATGAATGTATACTGCTAATATTTGGGACCTGGAAATTGACACAAATGGGTTGCAACGCATACATGTACAATAATGTAATATAAATGTATATTATATAAATTGATTTACATTCAGTCACTTCTGTTTTTACTGTAATTTCTAATCAGTTATGTTTGGTGAAATAACTCACAAGTCTCAATCAACGGCAATCTCTAGCGCCTGGTTATTCCAGTCTACACCAATAGTATTTATTGCGCGTGGTTTCCAGATAAAAATATGTCGTCACCGTTTCACATGACTTGTGGAATACATGTATGTCTATCCTCGTTCTTCGAGTCCCTTGTTACAAATGGCACTTAAACGCTTGACTTTACACGATTCATACAAATGGTAAAATGTTCATTTTGTCTTAAAAATATTTGATATCAGAAGCCCATCTTTTACCAGTAAGATCACAACATCAATGTTGATTTAAATTAACAAATAATTTGTGTTTTCAATGTCAAAAACTTTAGATGATATTGTGTTAGAGACTTACATCATATGTAGGCTAATGTAAGTACATACAGTACATGTAAGTATAGTATTACACTGCTAATTTACAGAACAGTTTTACCTCAATTTCATTTATTCAAAGCCACTTAAGACCAGCTCATAAATTACAAATAATACTCGCAACTGTTAACAATAATTTACAGTAACAAAAATTATTTTATGTCAAGTTATGGATGCTTAGATATTTTCATAACTTAAACAAAATAAATGAGTCTATCTATTTTTAAAAAGAACTTAAATGTACATGTTCAACAATAGGAATATTTCATTGTACATGTACATTGCCATTGTGTTCATACAATGCATCTTGAATTTTTATAATTTATACAAAGACCGTAGTATGATAGATAATGTTAATAAAATATCATTATAGTCTGTGACAATAAGTTATCACAATTCAAAAGACTTTTCTTTATAGTCCTTGACCCTCTTCACTAATTATTATGCGTAAATGAAAGAAAGTTCATGACTAACTGTACAAATATGTCAACATGCTACAATCAATTCGTTGAGACTTATTTAAATACCTACCATTTAAAGAATTTGACAGCAGCCGCCCTTTTCCTTCATGGGACTAGTGTTCATTTCTCGAACTATTTCAATAAATACTTCATTAACATTCTGGGTACTTTTAGCAGAGGTTTCTAAGAAGGGGCATCCCCAAAATTGAGCTAAAGCTGAGCCTTCACTGGATGGTACCTCACGCTGTTGGTCTAAATCGGCTTTATTTCCAACTAAAATCATTGGGATCTTCTCTATTCCTTTAACACGAATAATTTGTTCTCGCATAGTTTTTATATCTTGAAATGTCTGTAGACTTGTTATACTAAACACAATGACAAAACCTTGTCCATTTTTAATATACAAGTCTCGCATAGAAGCAAATTGTTCTGTGCCAGCAGTATCCAGAATTTCTAACACTGAAGGTGCGGAATCAACTTCTATCTCTTTGCGATAGAAGTCCTCAATCGTTGGATCATATTTTTCCATGAAAGTTCCAGAAACAAATTTGACAGTGAGGGCACTTTTCCCAACCCCTCCACTTCCCAACACCACTACTTTGTATTCCTTCATCTTGTTAATATTTTGGATTGATCACTGAATATTTCCAAAATTTCAACTTTATAAAAATGAATCAGTACACTATAATAATTAAGCTATTAACAACTCTATTATAAGCTTACCTTCAATTACTACATGAGAAAGTATTTATGGAATTAAAATATAACGATCACGGTTGTATTGAGTAATTACTCCAGTTATCCATGAATGGTAGCACGATTTTCTAACAAGAGCTGAAATAATACACACATGAAATAATCGGCTTCAACCTCCTTGACAATGGGCTCAACAATTAATCCAGCAGTGTTCAGTTATGAATTAAAGAGTCCAATAATAAGTTAATCCTTTTAACATTTGGGTTTAGCATACAACAGCCCACAACCAAAACTTCTTACAACATACACTTGAAAGTAGATTAATAATTAGTAAGTTTGTCAACAGTTTGTAGGCTTCGCAATGCACCACTCCTTCTTTACACGGCTTTCTTAGCTAAGTAGATCCTTGTTGACTGATACTGATACAATCACCACTGAAAAAAAAAATAACAGTTGGTCACAAATTTAATTCAGCAGAACTAACGTTACAATAGAAATAAAACATTTAAATTTGATTAAATTACATCATATATTTTAAAATATTATGAAAAAAGGTCAACTGTATTATGAATACACACATGTTAAAAAAAAAACAATGAGAAAATCAGTGAAGAATGAAGTGTCAGTCACTGTTGTCAGTGATGATATTCATTCATTGTTCTAAAAAATTCACCCCATGAGTTCTGATAAATCCAGTAAATATCTAATATGAAAGCAGACTTTACGTGTAAAGAGACAATATTTACTAAAGAGCCAAGCCACAGTGGACCGTGTCCATAGTGAGCCGATTGAACAACAAACCAAATTAACACTAGCAAGTGGGAGGCCAAATCCATGTTAAACCCGACCGGGCAAAGTTGACGAATTCGACTGTACTCACATTGAAATATCACGGACGATCGCTATCCCATTCTCTTATTTCGAAACTACTCTATTCCAAAGATCAGTAGTTTAAGTAGCCCTCCGAATTTCAATGTCTGGAAAATCTTCAAACTAGAGAAAAACTATAATATATGAACCACGAGTAGTATATCAAAGTACTGTTCCTTCGCCATTTTGGGTGGGCCAACCTTCACATTAGCCTTTTCTCGCCTCACTCGATAGAGAGTTAGCGTGTATTACTGGCATTAGGTCCAGATTTATTTGACAGTTGTAGGCTACATAGTAAACAAAACTTGAGACGTTTGCCAAAATAGAAAGCGGTCTTCAAAAACAAATGCGCTCAAATATGGTTTAATTCTGAACATGGCAACAAAATGTAATAAAATAGTTCATCTGTCAGTTACTAGCCCACGCTAATCACATGACAGCAAGATAAATTTTAAGATATAAATTTGCCATTGGCTACATCGAAATTGAAATAGATGCAGAAAAAATAACATTTGCCAATTTTGACGTTAATAAAGATGAACAAAAAAACCCCACAAAAAATGGAATAAAATTAAAATACGCCCGTGGGCGACTTGATTTAAAATGTAATGCGCGCTTTTCCGAATTCAAAACTTACACTTGTAGGAATTAATCGATCTATTTATTAGACCAATGATCAAGGTCGAAGGCGCGATTTTAAGGCACGCTGTCACATATAAACTACAATTGATTAATCCATGTTCTGCCGACCGGAGTGGGCATCAAAATTATTTTATGCTAGAAAAAAATGAAATATATAGAGATTAAGACCACAGACATCACCTAGGCCACTTTTATTTAAATAATCCCAAACCGGTTTGGCCCCGTTGGTCCCAAATTTCTATCCTATATGAACAGGATGTAAACAGGGCTAGCGCTAATCCCAATCCTAACCATAACCCTGGACCTACCCCCAATGCCCACCCTAACCTACAATCTCATCAACAATCACGTGCTCTTATAAACTTATTTACATCTCAGCAACCTTGACAAAACTGAGCTGATCTTAACAAATAGATTTAGCCTATAAGATAAGAACATCATTTGGGCCTAGAAAATAAAGTGTTAAATTGGATTAAATCTGACTATGCGATGTGCTTACGGTTACCTGGCCCCACAAAATATAAATATTGTTTTGTGGGGGGTTTGTAGCTTAATTTTTTAAGTAAGGTTACAGAAAATAATTCCGAAATTTCAGTGTCGGAATTTGCCTTATAGCTAGAGAAAATCTCACCAAGGCCGTGTTGGGCCTGAAATGAAAACAAAGTTTAGTGTTGGCGATTTTGGATAAAAACAGAGAGAAATGGGGGTTAACGTACACTCGACACAACTAGTCCATTTCGGGACTAACATATGGTTCAATTTTATTTCAATTATTCACTTGCGCGTAGGGGTCTTTAGCAGTGGGAGGAAAAATGAGGACCCGGAGAAAAACTACGAGGTTGGGCAGGCGACCCTATACTGTTTGTCACGTACAACCGGGGAATCGAAACCACGCTAGTTGACTCAATGACAGACCTTATCATACAGCGCGCACGCGCTTATTCGGCGCTAAAAACAACCAGGGTCGATCGGATAACCACGGCAACGATTAAATTTTCATTTCAAAATTTTACGCAGCAGCAGTTAGTTTACTAATTTTAGTCGTATTTTTGGCTTTTAAAACTGTCGACAGTGAACACAAAATCAGACATGCCCCCAACATTGGATCTATTTGTGGAAACAGAATTTTTAAATATAGAAGATACCTCATCCACAAAGTAAATCAACACACCAGACTTAATTAAAATCCTCATATTTTGTTTTTATACAAAGTAAATCAATCTATAGTTATTTTAGTTGATCATACTTAGAGACTGTATTTATTCAACTTTATAACATATTGATTTATATTTCCATATCTTTATTAGAAAAATACCTCGTCTCTTAGATAATATTAATATAATGTTTTGTAAATAACAGGAATGTGTTAGATAGCCTATATTAGATATTGTTTGTTGAGCATTACCAAACACTACGTGCCCGGGTGACATTTTATACTACTGTTTGCTGTAACGTTATATAGGCTACATAACTTACAAATAGTGTCGGATAGAGAGAGAGAGAGAGAGAGAGAGAGAGGGGGGGGGGGGGGTAACGTCCACTCGACACACAAACTAGGTAATTTCGGAACTAAAACATGGTTCAATTTTATTTCAATAATTCGCTTGTGCGTATAATAGGAGTCTAGCAGTGGGAGGAAACCGGAGGACCCGGAGAAAACCAACGAGGCTGGATAGGCGACCTTACTCCTTGTCACGTTCAAACGGGGAATCGAAACAACGCCTTATGATACAGCGCGCATGTGCTAATTACCATTCGCCCCCCCCCACCCGGCAGCCAATATATTAATGTAGAGGGGTGTAGGGGACCGCCCTGGCGGTTGTAATCGCCCATAAACGTTTCAATATTTCTTCACGAAATACGGGATTTGGAGTATGTCCTGTATAAAGAACACAACCTACAGAAATAATTGCAATCTGATTAAAGCACATACCGACAATGGATGTTCCTATGTCTTGTCTAAATTTTGAAGAAAATTCTAATTCCTTTTATGCATTCATTTGGCAAACATGAAAACAGTTTCTTCTTTCATTCACAAAAATGGCAGAAAACAACAAGCTCTTTTGACCAGGAACAGTTTAATATACAAACTTCATGACATAATTTAAGAACCAGAAAACGGGTAAACGCCCCAACCTCAACCTCCCCGCCCCACACAAAAAATAAAATAAAATAAAAAAACACGTATGAAGCAACCGGTTAACGTCACACTCGAAAGAAGATGTTTGTTTTACCATCTTCACCTTTTCTAGACAATGACTGACGTAATTATATAATCGCAAGATAAGATAATATGTTTATTGCACCAAAACGTCCATTATGGACAGCATGCAAACATATACACTTAGACATAGTCATATACATTTATTATGTTATGCAGGTTGAATACACCGTTTATTAAAGGGAGGTAACCTCTATTAATAATTCATGTAATGGACGCAGACCACCAATATTATTAATTCTCCCATTGACTCTTCGCCCGGCTCCAACTTTTCCAATAATATTAGTTGGGCTTTAAACGTCCCCTGCTACTCTATTTATTAAAGGGAGGTAACCACTATTAATAATTCATGTAATGGACGCAGACCACCAATATTATTAATTCTCCCATTGACTTTTCGCCCGGCTCCAACTTTTCCCAAAATGTTAGTTGGACTAAAAGTTTTCCGCCACACTGTTTATCAAAGGGAGGTAACCTCTATTAATGATTCAAGTAATGGACGCAGACCACTAATATTATTAATTCTCCCATTGACTCCTCGCCCAACTTTTCCCAAATTCCTAGTTGGACTAAACGTTCTCCGCCACAAACACAGCAACATCTGTCAATATCTTGATTTTATACGCTCACATTTAATATATTAAAGATACATTATGAGGGGAAAATGCTGCCCGAGCCTCTCTGCATATTCTCTGGATGTTCTCAGTTTTAGAATATACACTGTACCATTTAAACATACATTATGGGAGTTTAGAATATACACTGTACCATTTAAAGATACATTATGGGAGATTAGAATATACACTGTACCATTTAAAGATACATTATGGGAGTTTAGAATATACACTGTACCATTTAAAGATACATTATGGGAGTTTAGAATATACACTGTACCATTTAAAGATACATTATGGGAGTTTAGAATATACACTGTACCATTTAAAGATACATTATGGGAGTTTAGAATATACACTGTACCATTTAAAGATACATTATGGGAGTTTAGAATATACACTGTACCATTTAAAGATACATTATGGGAGTTTAGAATATACACTGTACCATTTAAAGATACATTATGGGAGTTTAGAATATACACTGTACCATTTAAAGATACATTATGGGAGTTTAGATACAGAGCTGACAGTTCTCACTATAATAGTTAAAAACTAGATAATGTAAAGAGAATATGCTGAAAATTTCAGTCAAATTGATCAATTATGAGCGGAGATTTTAGCGATTGAATTTTCGGCCTAGCCTCGATCATCATTACTAAAGTCGGTACGATAAAAACATAGCCTCGATTATTCATTTCATGATTAAATTATGAATGGAAGTCGAACAGCAAATTGGAACCTAATCCAATAAACATCGCAGACTAGCGATGACATCTAGAGTTGATTATAGTCTGAATAATTAATAATTTAGATAACATTTCAGGCCTAAAGAAAGACCTGTAATAGGCAGATTTAGCTCTTGCATAATGTATGTTTAAATAAAGGCTGTAATCACTTCGGATGAATCCTTCAACATCCTGAGAATGCATTCAAAATTGGAAAGTTTATTCAGCTAACAAAAGCTACCCGAGGCGTATCATATGTGGGCAAAAACACATCTTTGGGAATTCATTATTAGAAACTAAATATTGATTTTCACGCCATTCGAAATCACTACATCTTGGATCTTAAAAATTACACAAACTATAGCTTAAAAATCAGAAAAAGGTAAATTCTCAGACAATGGCCCTGTCATTATTAACAAAACAGGAGAATTATCAATGAATTTTTTTGTATAGAATTATTTATATCACGTACGATTAGTATGAAGTTATATTTTATGAAATAACTAAACATGCATTATACAAGAGCTAAATCTGCCTATTGCAGGTCTTTCTTTAGGCCTGAATTGTTATATAAACTATTAATTAGACATTTAGTAACAAAACAAGATCATAATCAACTCTCGATGCCATCTTATCTGTCCGATTTTCATTTGATTTGAATCCGATCTGCTGTTCAACGTCCGCTGATGATTAAACGCACAAATGGATAATCGAGACTTTGTTAAGGGCTTCTCGGCTTAGAGTGAAGCAGTTTGACTAAAATTTTCAGCATATTCCCTTTACATCATCTAGTTTTTAACTATTATAGTGAGAACTACCAGCTCTATATCTAATCTTCCATAATATATCTTAAGAAAGAATGCGTGTAAAATTGTATCATTAGCCTACTTGTTCTTTGCCAGTGTCACGATCTCATTGTTGGATTGTAGAAAATATAGACACAACATTTTATCCACATATCTATGGAAGGGTATCGCTGCCAATATTAAATGCTCTGCTAAAATGTCTTTTCCATTGATTATGTGTAAAAGGTACAATGTAGTGTGCTGGATTATAGTGTGCCAGGCTGATCTCGGCCTCGTTTCCGTATATGTTAATAAGTCACGTGGTATCCTACATTTGCATATCAAAGTTAGTGCTCTGCGTAAGATGCTATGTTGAAAGCGGGAAGGACAAATGAGATGCGACAGAGAGCAAACGTAAAATGTAAAAAGTGGAATTTAAAATGTTGACCCCCCCCCCCCCCTTCCAGAATTTTCAAATAAAACATTTATCATTTGATATTTGACACATTGCATTTGACGTTTTACATTTAACTTTTGACTTTATCATTACCGGTATTAGGACTTTGTACATTTTAGCGGAGCATCTAATATTGGCAGCTATACCCTTCCATATCAAGGATTGAAGATCAATGTATAAAAATTGAAACATAAAACATTCTGTTTAATATCCAATTTAACATGCCAATTAATATTTTCCTTTAAAAATTACCATGTAGTAATCATCCATCTTTCCTTTTCAATTATTTACAATAATCAATTTAAACAACACATTAGTTTTTCTTTTGATATTTATGGAATTCATGGATTAGAAAACGATAAAAATATTGTAAAAGATGTCTATCAATCAATTATTTAATTCATTGATTAAAGGGCAGTATGGCAGATTAGATAAAGGACTGGCAGTTCTCACTATAGTTAAAAACTACATAATGTAAAGGGAATATGCTGTAAATTTCAGTCAAATTGATCTTCTCTGAACCGGGATATTAGAGATTGAATTTTAGGCCTAGCTTCGATCATCATTACTAAAGTCGGTACGATAAAAAACGCCCGTCTGTTCTGCCCCGAATGGGCTAATGAAGACGGTCATAAGTCACGCAGTGTGCTATGCGGGAAATTTTGCCCGTACGGCGGCGCTATATACGGTCTAATCTTATATCGAATTCCAAATGCCAGGGGATCTTTTACATGTAAGCCAATGTACACACGGGACCTCGGGGTTTCGTCTTATCCGAACGACTAGACAGTCGTCCTTCTCAGGCCCCCTGTTCTGCACCACTGACAAGGGGAAACCACGTCGGAACATCCCGATGAACTTTCTCGGCCATTGCAGGGATCGAACACGTGACCTCCAGGCTAGCGGGCCATCGTCCTACCCACTTAGCCACCGTGGCACCTTATTATCGACAAATACACGGTCTACCTTTGGGTAACCCACTGTCGCCACAACTTTGAGAAGTATTTATGACCACTTGTAAAAGATGTACTACAGACATCCCCAATCAAACCACTTTGCTGTTTCAGGAAAGTTGATATACATTCATGTTCCTGAAGCAACGACTGTGAGTTTTACAACATCTGGCCTTCTATTGAAGATGATGTACATTTGTGATCCCCAACCGAAACGACACCCCAGGAGATAAACTTTGTCAAAATTATAGGTCAATCCACCAATAAATGGTGGAGATTTGTCCTGTTTTAGAGGAACCTTTATTACGCAATTTGTACACATTGAAAATGACCTGATCCGTTACGGATGTCCCGAAATTAAGTAAATCATGCTGGGGTCCTGTTCAGAATTTAAGTTTTCTGTTGTTTTGCAAATACTTGAAACACGTATTGATAAGTTTACTAAATGTTTAAATGAAATGAAATGAAATGGGGTTGAACGTCCTACTGTTCTGCTCCTAAACTGGGCTAAAATGTTTAAATAGGGCGAAATATTTAACCTAAAAGAATAGACGGTGGTATGTATTTCAATATCAATTATTTTGGGTAGTTATTTGGGCAGTACGGGGTATATAATGAAAAGTCTGTTAATATTATGTTTGGATATATTTGGCCTCGGGAGATTTATTTAATACAGACATAATTTCGACATTATTTGATTTTTTTACACTATTTGTCTAAAATATTTTGAATGCAATTTCATGTTGTTGTATTTTCAGATGATAATGTTATGGTAGAGTCCATCGTTCTAATTGTTTACTCTATTCCGACAGACAGTCTAGTCTGTTTTACAAGATGTACAACGAAAAGAAAGCAGACATTTAATTTTTGCAACCGACGATAAGCAGTTGGAACTTCTCGGACAAGCCAAGACTTGTTTTTACATTCAAGATTATTTACAAGCCTGGGGACGACATAAAACAAGTTCCATTGGTGTTCATCCTCGTGGTCGACAGATTCAAGATGTTATCTGTATATTTTATAATTTGCTGTAAAATGAAAAAAAATAAGAGGTTGGTTAAACATGTTTAAGGACATTTCATTTAATATATTATTAAATATTTAGAAGGTATTCCTGGCCACCCGTAATTTGTGGTTGGTTTTGTCGCCAGAATATGGCAAGCCCTAAGATCGGTTTTTGATGATACAGTGCTACATGGCTGCGCTTTTACTGAAATCTGGCAGTGTGGAAAAAGGTCCAAGAAAAGGGACTTCAATTATATCCTTTGACTACGAAAGAAATGAAATGAAATGAAATGGGGTTTAACGTCCTAATGTTCTGGTCCGAACTAGGCTAATGAAGGCGGGCATACACCATACAGTGTGCTATGGGGGAAATGTTGCCCGGACAGCGGCACTACGGCCTACTCTGCTGGTTGGACAGTAGTCAGTACCCGTTGTCACATACAACCGGGGAATCGAAACCACGCCAGTTGACTCAATGACAGACCTTATGATACAATGCGCACGCGCTAACCATTCGGCCATCCAACCCCCACACAATGCTCTATATACCTATAAATATAGTTGATAATATGTAGATAATAGGTATACGTACATATGAAATAAAAACTCCCAGTAGGTCTATGTGCATTGTTTGGTTGACAATGCCATAACGTCACGACTGAGTTTGTTTAGTGTCATGGCGATAGATCGTACATGGCATATTTTGTGGACACTGACAGGCAAGATTATTGTAAGTTAACTAGATTATTATTTTAACTCCAACCTGAGATCAATACATCATACCTGGGTCCGTATTCAATGGTTAGCTTAAGTCACTTAACTAATATACGTAACTTCATGTTAAGTTACGGGTAAGTGGTACTCAAAGGCAGTGCTAAGTATACATATTCCCTTTAGTTAAGCTGTTTTTAACTTAAGTGTTTCGTCTTTTAGCGGTATTCAAGTGAGAAAAATCCACTTAATTTTAAGTGAGATTTTAAACGTTACCGGATTGAGATTGAAACAATGACAATGGCGCTGAGCGTAGCCGCGCCTCAAACTTTTATTTTCATTTTCAGCTTTGATGTTGTAGTGTCATAATAGGGTATAAGGTTACTACCACCGAAATGGTCGAGGATATTTTTTTCCGATAATTTTTGTTCTACCACCGAAATGGTAGAGGATATTTTTTTCCAATCATTTTTATTCTTTTCGTTTTGCTTATTCATGTTTTCCACGACAGTTATATAATAAAGTTTAATGCGTCAAATTTGATATTGTGACGACATTCCATTGTAGATTTCGACAAACCATTGTACTACCATTAGTAACAATTCGTAATTTATTTTCTAAAGTTGATTCCCATATACATATTTGAAGTTAGTTGCAAATTGGCAATAGTATTGTTTGCAACATGTTCTTGTCTTCGTTTGTAAATAAATTTACAAATAATATATGATGATGACTGCTGGCCACAGGGTGCCATCAATATTTTACAATTGATTTCTTGTATTTCTTATTGTGTTTTAATTGGTAGTATTTATTCAGGTAGAAAGTAGCGTCACGTGCATCTTTCATACCATCAACGCCGCAAGGCGTGTGGGATTAGAGAGATGGGTTTAACGTCCACGCGATACAAATTAGGTCATTTCGGGACTAACCTATGGTTCAATTTTATATAATTCGCTTGCGCGTAGGGATCTTTAGAAGTTGGACTGTTAGAGAAAATGAAAATCAAATGAAAATGAAATGAAATGGGGTTTAACGTCCTACTGTTCTGCTCCTATACTGAGCTATAATGAAGACGGGCATACATCATACAGTGTGCTATGAGGGAAATTGTGTCTGCGCAGCGGCACAATGGCCTACATGTACCCTTATATCGAATTCCAACCGCCAGGGGATCTTTTACGTGCACGCCAATGTATACACGGGTCCTCGGTTTTCCAACCCATCCCAACAACTAGACAGGAGTCCCTGTCAGGTCCTCCGTCCCGCACCACTGACGAGGGGAAACCATGCCAGAAAATCCCCATATTCATACCTTTTTTGCCAATTTGTTTTATAAACATTATTTTATCTAATTCTAGGATTAGGAAACAGGGAACGCCTATATAATCACCCTCCCCGAGAGGCTTTACGAAAAGATAAATGTACAATCAATTAAACATGCATTATGCAAGAGCTAAATCTGTCTATTGCAGGTCTTTCTTTAGGCCTGAAATGTTATCTAAATTATTAATTAGACACTAATTAACTTATCCAGACCATAATCAACTCTACAAGGCATCGCTAGCCTGCGATCTTAAGTGGATTGTGATCCGGTTTACTGCATAACTTTCCTTCTCGATTAAACGATTAAATGGATAATGAAGACTATGCTGTTTAACGTACTGACTTTAGTAATGATGACCGAGGCTAGGCAGACATTTTATTCGCTTAGTTCTCGGTTCATAGTACATCAATTTGAATGAAATTTTCAGCAAATTGCCTTTACGTTATCTAGTTTTTAATTATTATAGTGAGAACTGCCAACTCGTTATCGAATCTCCCATAATGTATCTTTAATATGTGTCGCCTATTTAGTTGGGGACTGAGCCTAGTACCCACAGTTGTGCCACAGGCCCAGCTCTAGCCTAGTTGTACAACATGGCCCATTGGGAAATGGGGGAGGGCTGTGGGTGGAGGTGGGGGTATGATCTGGCATGGTCATTTCAATGGATATTGTTTGTTCTCTTTTAGGTACCCAGGTGTGCTTGACCATTTAAACATTGTTTAGGCCGGTGCCCAGAATATCTAGTGTGACTTGATTGTGTGACGGGACCTATTTAGGGTTTTTTCAAGGTTCTTTGTAATGGTTATTATTTCTAGCATGGATCATTTTGTATACCCTAAGAGGTACCTGATTATTTAAACCTTGTTGCAAGTCTAAAACCTAGTCTTTCTGTCTAGTAGGGACATTACAATAATCAAGGTCCAAACATAGGGAGGGATTGAGGGGCGGGGGGTCATATGTCCGGGGCGACACTTCTCGGGGGCGGCAAATTATCTCAGTGCTTAGCAGAAATCCCCTTTAATATTCATGGGCTAACCTCACCAACCTTCGCTTCCCCTGAGCCTTTGTAAACCAGTTCATGTTTCAGCAAATAGCGAGGGTAGAATTATGATTTTTCCAAGATATATTATAGGGTTATGGGAAATAAACATAAACAGTTTACATATAAGTTGATTTAATAAATAGTTATTTAGATGAAGTGTTAAAAATATAAAAAAAATTCGCATTTTAAACTTTCTTTCATCATAAAAATCGCATTTTAAACTTTCTTTCGTCATAAAAAAATCCACTGATCGCAGACACTGAACAACAGTTACGGTATGCAAAGGCAGGGGGGGGGGGGGGGCATCGCTGACACTGTTGCCCTGGGACGCCACATTAGCATGTGAGGGCCCTGGCAATACTTTTATAAAGGTAGATATTGTTGTACAATAAAATCGATATTTAACATAAGCGATCAATTTAATACTTGAAACTATCCTAATACAAGGTCAACAAGGTGAAGGGTTCTGTATAGTTATGTTTACATAGTATATTATCGAATGTTAAGCAATCCTCAGTCACCAAAATAAGTGTACTATATATACTGAATTGCTATATATTAAAGTTTAGGGGTGATTTCTTGTCCATTTCTATTCATTAATGAGTATTATTCATTTTGATAGATTTGTTATGTGAGAGAAATATGGTACAAGTGTAAATTAAAGAGATCACGATAGTGTAATGTGTTTATGGTTTTTGTGACAGGTAGATAGATATCACCCCTAACAACATCTATATGTGTAAGATATTTGTTTACGTTTGTTATTGTTCTTTGATATGTTGTGTATATATCTATTGTTACACTATGACATGTAGAGTGGTGATCGTTCTCAACGTATATATCATTATATATTGGGAATATTAATAACGATAGGCTATAGCTCTACCGGAACCACGGTGGATAAGACGGGAGAGAGAGAGAGAGAGAGAGAGAGGGGGGAGGCTATAGCTCTACCGGAACCACGGTGGATAAGTAGGTAGGTAAGACAAGAGAGAGAGAGAGAGAGAGAGAGAGGGAGAGGCTATAGCTCTACCGGAACCACGGTGGATAAGACGGGAGAGAGAGAGAGAGAGGGAGAGAGAGAGAGAGAGAGAGAGAGGGGAGGCTATAGCTCTACCGGAACCACGGTGGATAAGTAGGTAGGTAAGACAAGAGAGAGAGAGAGAGAGAGAGAGAGAGAGAGAGAGAGAGGGGAGGGGGTGTTAACGTCCACTCGACACAAACTAGGTCATTTCGGGACTAACACGGTTCAAGTTTATTTCAATAATTCGAGTCCGCGTAGAGGTAGGTAAGACACTGGCTCGCTAGCCTGGAGGTCACGTGTTCGATCCCTGCATTGACCGAGAGAAAGTTCATCGGGATGTTCAGACGTGGTTCCCCCTTGTCAGTGGTGCAAGACGGAGGGTCTGACAAGGACAGCTGTCTAGTCGTTCGGATAGGACAAAACACCGAGGTCTCGTGTACACATTGACGTGCACGTAAAAGATCCCTTGGCAGTTGGAATTTGATATAAGAGTAGGCCATAGTGCTGCTGTCTGATCAAAATTCCCCTCATAGCACACTGTATGGCGTATGCACGTCTTCATTAGCCCAGTGGGAGCAGAACAGTAGGACGTTTACGCACAAGTTCATTTAATTTCATTTCTATAGCTCTAAATTACTTATATTATTACATATAATCTACTGTGTTATGTTATATTGTGTAAGATGTACCCACGTGTATCTATGGCGATCATGTTTGATCTATTTCCATCACTTTTACATCCCATCACTGTTACATTGAAGGATTAGGGTTAGGGTTAGGCTCAGGTATTTAAGATTAAAACCTATAAATTCAGGAAAGCAATCACTGGGTATATTTCACACTACGTTTCAACAAGTTCCTTTTGTCGTTCTCAAGTAAGTAATGACAGTATAATAGCAAGAGAAATCAAATTATCTACAACAAGGTAACAAAAACAATAACTCATATGAAACCATCAAAGGGCTAATAAAAAGTACAATAATAACATTACACCTTGTGGTATATAATTTAATTTCTTGTCATTACTCACTTGAGAACAACAAGAGGAACTTGTTGAAACGTAGTGTGAAATAAACCCAGTGATTGTTTTCCATATAAATTTGTGTTTAATATCATATGTTCAGTTACTAAATGCCATATAAAGATTTTATAAATTCAGGGTAAGGGGTTTAAGATTAAAACCAATGAGTAAGACAAAATCTTCAACAACAATGAAATATTGAGACACAAAAATGGGAGTCACACCAAACATGAATGGCGTATCTTTTTATCTTCTAGGGTATGTAAAGAGGGTATCAGAACAACAATGGCGGGGGGCATGGAAGAGCGAGCATACAAAGTGTTAACAGGGACGTTTTCTGCGGCAGAGAAGCCAAAGATTCCTGCTGAAATTGTTCGTGTATATCTGGCTTCAAATGGCACAGGTAAAATTATTAATTGGTTCAAATTGAGTCTAAGTAGAAATTGATGTAGGTATATGCAGGCCCCCCAATAATTTGGCCGCAAGTACTCTTTTCTCCAGGTTATGGCGGCCCTGGACCCACGCCTATAAGGACCTAGGATGAAAGCCCCCCCCCCCCCAATCATGAATTGCTTCCGCCGGCCCTGTATATGTACAAAATAATATTACTGATTCAGTACAGCAATAACTAACATTAACATTCTGCACACAGAGGTCCAACTACTTCATTCCACGAGAATAGATCTCTGTCTTAAATGGCCGCCATATCTAAAAATTAGCATACTTTTTTTTGTAATTAGGTTCTACTCCGTTTCACATCTGTCATACACGCAAAGACTAAATAAACTTTTTCAATTGTATTAAATCCTTAACAAAATTCTCGAAGTTTACTTTGTGTTTTCGACTAAAATCGTCGATCTAGGATTTAAAATGTCGGTCAATTAGCTTAGTGTCTGTTCTCAAGCGGAGCTAACTGTAGACAGACAGCCTAAGTTTAGTATGTAACATTGGTTGTGGTACCGGATATTACGGGACAGCGTGAATGATTACCATAAAACAGAATCTTGTTGTATAGAGGGCGAGACAAAAACCAAGGTCCCGTGTATACATTGGCGTGCCACCAAAAAAAAACCCCATAAAAACTCTGCGCAATCCGCAAACACATCCTCCTTACTATTCCAGGCTTAAACGTAGTCCAATACATAGCCTTATTTGTGTGGTTTTGGAACCGAAATCCAACGAAGTATAACTAAATAGACACAACTTATCAACCACATGTTATTGTTAAGTTCAATACCCGCAGATGAAACAAAACAAAATAGAACAAGCAGTGTTAATCTTTTATTAGCGGCCTCAACAATCGCCGATCAATGAAATAAAACAAAAGACAACTATCAGCCTTGTATAAAAGAACAAAAAAACGAGTCTATTTTGAGTCCGAAATGACAAAGGAAATAAATGTGCTACCTGCCTATTTTAGGGACCTTTTAAATCAATTTAAGTTTAGTAAAAATTTAGATAAATTGAGATATTATTCTATTGTGTGTACACGGTCTGTTATGTGTCTAACAAGAGCTCTTTTACCACTAAAAATATATTTTATTTAGTCCTTACAATAGTTATAGCAGCCATGGAACGAATGTTGTCGTTTGACATAAACATATCCTACAACACAATGTGGAAGTAATTAGTAAAGGTTGATTCATAAACGACAAAATATTAACAATATTGTTTTATAAAACTGAATATAAATCACTTTAAATACATTCATATTACATTAATATGTGCTTTTAGAACCACTATCGTCCATTGCAAGGTTCCAAAAAATGGGACAAGGACAGCTGTCTAGTCCTTCGGATGAGACGAAAAACCGAGGTCCCGTGTATATATTGGAATGCACGTAAAAGATCCCCTGGCAGTTGGAATTCGATATAAGAGTAGGCGATAGTGCCGCTGGCGGTGAAAATTTCCCGTATAGTACACTTTATGGCGTATGCCCGTCTTCATTAGCCCAGTATGGGAGCAGAACAGTAGGACGTTAAACCCCATTTCATTTCATTTCCAAAAAATAGAGTCATACGCCCTTTAAGGACCATGAATTAAGAACACTGAATAAAGAGCTGTTTGGTCTTCCACACTTTTAATACCAAACTGAATGATTTGATAGGTAAATCTTCATCTTCGCACCCGATTAGATTCTGTTACATACTTCGAGAAGGTATTTATTGAGTAATAAAACCTTCTAGTAGTTTATCGAGGGCTGGCCTTCCTTACCGCACGGTACAAATATTATCACCACTAGAAGCAACAAATTCCAGAACAAGCCAGAACTCATACCAAAATGGCCGCTTTATACAAATGAGTATTTAGGGGAATACTAACCCGAACCCTAACCCTAACCCTTTTAAGAGAAGTAAAAACTAAATTAGACCCAAGTTCAGTCTTTTAAAAAGGGTTAGGGTTCGGGTTAGTTATCCCCCAAATTATCATTTATATAAAGCGGCCATTTTGGACTCCGGAAGCACCTGAACCTCGATAAACTACTAGAAGGTTTTATTTGTACCGTGCGGTAAGGACGGCCAGCCCTCGATAAACTACTAGAAGGTTTTATTACCCAACAAATACCTTCTCGAAGTATGTAATAAAATCTAATCGGGTGATCTTCGTCGAGCAACCTTGAAAATCTTTCTCAAACTGTTAAAATTGGTGACTCAACTAAAACGGATTTAAGAATCAGTTAAAAATCTCTACTCAGCTGCTCCAACAAGATCTTAATGAATTTTAAAGGGCCAATCCCGATAATATTTTTGAGAATAAAACTGGTTGATTTTGTGTTAAAATCCCCTAAATCATCTACCTTAGGGCCGAGCAACTAACTCAATATATTTGATACGTTTTTAAACAACTTAAATCCGTCAGTCTTAATCTGGAAGTGTGGACCGGTGCCCCAAGCTGTATTATGCGGTGTCTGGATAAAACCAGACTTTTATTTTATAAAAATAAAGTGTAGGTGAAATTTACCTTTCGTTATCAAGTACAGCACATGGGTCATTCACTGTATAAACCTCTAAAGGAACGGGAATCGATTATCAGGTCTCCCAACGAAAGAATTGAATCAAAATCTTAAAAGGGTTACGTGTCCGGATCAGCAGTTTTGACGTTCACGTCCAAACGACTCAATATTTTCAGCTGGAATTTTGAGAGAAGGTAAATACACCACTCCTCTATATTTTGGCGCTTAAATTGCATACGTAATCCGACTTTTATTTTTGAGACTCTCTTGAAATCGGGATAGTCCCTTTAATACCAAACTGAATGATTTCATAGGTAAATCTTCATCTTCCTCGTGAAACCTTGAAAATCTCTTTCTCAAACTGTTAAAATTGGTGACTCAACTAAAACTGATTTAAGAATCAGTTAAAAATCATGGAGTTTACAAGATCTTAATGAATTTTGACGCCGTATATAAACCATGCAGGGACTTGCTCTCTACTGATAAAAATGTACAACCTTGTCCTACAGTAAAACTTTTAAAAATATAATCTTAAAACTGGGGCCTGTTTCACGAAATTTTAATTAAGATAAAATCCAAATTTTAGTAATTTGATGGGATAATATAAGATTGATTTTAGTGCTTAGCCAATCAAAATGGAAGTATCTACATATACCAAAATTTGGATTTTATCTTTAGTTAAGATTTCGAGAAACAGGGCCCTGAACATTTTAAAAAGAATCTTAAATGTGAACTTTTTTAACTGGTTTTTAAAATGTGATTTGATATTTCAAAACTGGTGTTTTATTTTTAATGTATTTTAGTTGTAAAGTACGCCTTGAAGCAGCTTATTAGCTGGAACAAGCAGCGCTATACAAATTGTTTATTATTATTAAATTGATAATATTTATTATATGTAATATTAAATATGATGTATTTTGTTTACAGATTCAGTAACGGAGAGAACATCTTTTATTCAGAATGTGTACCCTCGACTTAGGGAATATTGTCGTCGACAGTATGGGGTGGAATTTCAGGTAACTTTAATGATGCCTTCCCACTTACAAACTGGGTAATATATTTGGACTAAAACATATATAGTCAAACTAATTTATCTATCAAACCTTTGCTTTAAATCCCCCTCAGAAAATGTTAATAGCAAGAAAACTACCGCATGTCACAAGAATCTATTTTAAAGGGGCATTAGGTAAGATTAGATAAAGGGCAGACAGGTCATGTTATAAATAGATGATTAAAACAAAATATGCTGCAAATTTCAGTCAAATTACTCCATTATGAATCTCTCTTTGACAAGCTCTAACAGACACCCAAATTTTGTTTGGCTTAAATGTCTATGTCACTAAACAGGTGCTCTGTTTTTCAGGGTGCTTGCATCAGTAATAATTTTCTGTTTTGCGCTGTCCCCCCACCCCTCCGTCAATCAACACCCTTGGACGTGTGTATGTTTCCGCTGAGACAGCTTATGTCAGGGTCGTGTGTCTATTAATCGTATGGACCTAGTAGTATAATGACGCTAGTCTAGTTATACATACGTTACATTTTATACGTCTTCTATTAATACAGGTTGTTGATCTAGAATGGGGTTTACCACCATACCAATCTTTAACTGATGATTTTAAACAGCGAGAAATAATCAAATGTCAAACTATGTCTTCCGCTACAACGCTAATAGTAAGTTATACCTTGATACACTGTAGTGAGTTATACCTTGATACACTGTAGTGAGTTACACTGTAATATACTGCAGTACGTTACACTGTAATACTTATATGATTTAACTTACACCGTAATACTAATAAACTATAGTAAATTATATCTAATACAATTTACCCAACATTCCTTCAAATCATTGTTTTGTTTTATTATCTTCACACTTCCAGCGTTTAATAAGCACAGCCACTTTATGTATTAGATATAATAAAATTTTGTGGGGTTGGATGGCCGAATGGTTAGCGCGTGTGTGTTGTATCATAAGGTCTGTCATTGAGTAAACTGGCGTGGTTTCGATTCCCCGGTCGTACGTGACATGGAGTAGGATCGCCTGTCCAACCTCGTGGGTTTTCTCCGGGTCCTCAGGTTTCCTCCCACTGCTAAAGACCCATACGCGCAAGGGAATTATTGAAATAAAATTGAACCATATGTTAGTCTCGAAATGACCTGGATTGTGTCAAGTTGACGTTGACCCCCATTTCTCTCTCTCTCTCTCTCCCTCCCTCTCTCTCTCTCTCTCTCTCTCTCTCTCTCTATCCCTCTCTCTAATACAATTTTGAAGTATTATTATTGTTTGTACAGGTATTTATAGGACAGAAATATGGTAACCGAGTATTACCTACTTCTATACCAGCTGATGAATTTGAGAAGATTAAGTACGCATTGTTACATAATAAAAGACGTGAAACAAGAAGAGCCTTTCTTCTTGATATTTGGTTCATCAAAGATGAGAATAACATCCCCGCTGTGTATATCCCTACAAAGGTTAAACTTGATGATATAAAGAACAGCATTCAGTCTCAGGTAAGAGTTGAGCAAATATTTCATACTTAGTATCGTACAGACCAATCTGATTAACATACAGATCTATATTTCGTTTCGTTTTTTATACTTTCGATGGCCTGCACTACATGAAGATATGATCGGTTGTACTGGAAGGTCGCGTCAAGGGTCATACGAGCGACTTTTGACCCTATGGCGTCAGACATTGATTAATCAATGTTTTTTTTAGTGATGTACCGTTTTATTAGCTTATCCCTCACTTCAACCAAATTGCCGGTAATATAACAACTCTTACAGGTCCTAGTGTAGTAAAGACAAGTAAAACGAAATTTTGGACTATAAAAAACGAAACGAAATAGGATCTTTGTTTTAATCAGATTGTGTACAGAAACACTAGAGGTTGCATTTTTTATCCTATTTTGATCAAATTTAAAATGTATATTTATATCACAAAGATCTCGGATGGGTTAGGTTTTGACACGTACGTTTCTGAATTATTGCCCCCGATTAAACGAAAATCGCGTACATAGCTCGTGAATCTTTAATGTATGTTCCTCACGCAACAATCAAGGACGAGATGTATATTTTTAGATAAAATCGGACGTAACTTTCCGTTAAAATGATACCCATTTATGCAAATAGTGGCAAAGTATGTATACACCAAGGAATCCTATTACTGCCAGAGTTAAGGCCCTTGATCACTTTAAAAAGTTTGTGGAAGCTCTAGAGGCTAAAGTTAATATAAATTGTTTAAGGCCATGAGACAAACAATTACTTAGTCTTAATGGGTTATTTTCATGTGTTGTAAATATTTTCATTACTTACAAAAGAAAAAATAAGTGACAACACTTGTTGACTGAGCGGACGACTTAGCTGTTGTAGGCGTATGTTACGTTGCCTGGCAACCTATCTTTTTGATTTTCTAAAAGAATTTTTATCATTATATGAAAATACAATTAAATTAAACAAAGATAAATTTACAAATCTGATATGACAATAATTGTCTGATTTGTAAAACAAATGTCTGATTTGTAAAACTAATATTGGTTTAAGATACAAATGTTAATTTTGGTGTACAAATGTCGAAATACGACAACAAATGAAGACTATGAATTAAGAGCTTAGAATGAAGAACACTGAATAAAATGCTGTTTTGTCTTCCATGTGCAAGTATTTACTAGTTAGCTAGCCTGCAAGTTGCGGGTTCGATCCCGGTATTGGACGAGAAACGTCATCGATATTTTCCTGCGTGGTTTCCCCTTGTCTGTGATGCAGGACGGAGTGTCTAGTCGTGCACGTAAAAAATCCCTTGGCAGTTGGAATTCGATATAAGAGTGGGCCGCAGCACCGCTGTCCCTCATGGCACACTGTAGGGCGTATGCCCGTCTTCATTAGCCCATTCGGAACAGTAGAACGATAAACCCCATTTCATTTCATTTCAGAATAATTTCACAAAAGATTCATACTGCCCGGAAACCATGGAAGAAATAGAAGATGAAATATTACGACAACTAGAAAGGGGCACCAAATTAGTTTATGAAGATGGCTGTTCAAGGAAAGATAACTCACAGTGCTATCGGTTGTCAGATCTTGAGAAAAATCTTCAGATTGGTTTGGACTTTTGTGATAACCTTAATGATAAATGTATCTTGATATTAAGAAAGATCATTGATTTACATAACTATGTTGAAGATAACCAAACCCCAGAATTCATTGAATTACAGTTTGATGAAATTGAAGAAGAGTTGAAACCCAATGAGGAATCTCAAATTCGCCTAGAAATGATGAAGTCCAAAGTGATGGGTTTAATCGGAAAAGACAACACCCTTTCGTATAACGTTTTATGGCGTTACAACGATGTTATTAACGCTGAGCTTCACACTGAATACTTAAACACTCTATGTGATGAACTGTATGGAAGATTAAAAGTTCAGATAGACACCTTGTTACCACCAGCAACAAAGAGTTTTCTACCGACAGACGAACTAGCAGTAGAAGTATCCAAACACTGGACTCGCTGTTTTGATGTAGCTGGTCGATTTTATGGTGGAGAAGATGTTCTCAACAAAGTTTATGATTACCTTAGAACAGATTCTAGTTGTCTTTTTATACTACATGGCCCGTCTGGTTCAGGCAAAACAAAATTCTTATCCAAGATTGCCACGGATGTAAGTTTTACCTAGTCTATTCTTCTATGTGAGTTATTTTCGGTTGTCAATTTTAAAGGTCACCCTATCCGTCGGCCCGTGAACAATTGTGAACGAGATAGTGACTACAGTCCTTTACGGATTCTGTTCAAATGTGGTGTTAAGCATTGTGGGCTTGAGATGACAAACCCTGTCGATATTTAGTTTTCAGTTCCAGAGTTATTCTTCCCTTTCCGAAAACCTTGTGAACGCGATTGAGGACAAGGATTTGTGTAAAAATAGGGTGAGAAGCACTAGGGTCATTATAGGACCACGACCATCTATCACCCCACCCCTTGACTAAAACCTTTTAGAGAAGCATTGTGGTCATGAAAGAACGAACCCTATCGATATTCAGCGTTTCGGGACCTTGCGTTCAAGAATTACCATTTTTGCCAAAATTCGTGTGTTCGCGATAGAGACTAATGTTTGCTTTTAATTTGGTCATGAACAGTTAAACCATTTTAATGTCCAGCGTTCCATGACTTTCCTTTTCAGAGTTATTCCCTCTGATTGATTTTTCCAATGTGTAAAGCATATTGTTGTCATGGGAAGACGAACCAACCCTATCCATTTTCAGCATTCGGGTTTTCGTCCAATCCTAATGAATAGACAGCCGCAGTGCTTGCCAGGCCCTCCATCCTGCACCACTGACAAAGGGAAAATCCTGATGAACTGTCTCGGCCAATGCAGGGATCGAACATACGACCTCCAGGCTAGCGAGCCAGCGTCTTACCTATTTAGCCACCGTGGCCCCCTAATGTACTATAGCTGCAGGTATAACGTGGTAATAATAATACAGGCATGCCTTCCAAAAGTCGATTATTTGCAATATCATTATTTATGTCAAAACTTATCTACATTGAATCATATATAAGACAAATTTGAATATTATATATTTTGAATATTATATATTTTGAATATTATATATTTTGAATATTATATATTTTCAGACATATGGTCTCCTGGGAGGTAACACAATTACTATTATTCGTTTTATTGGCTATACCGTTGTCAGTTCTACCGCACGCCAGTTACTATACGGGATATGTTGTCAAATATATGTTGCCCTTGGATTAGACACCGGTACCATACCAGTAGATCTTAACCATTTACAGCGGTTCATGCATCATTTACTAAATAATATACCACAACAATATACCTTGGTTATTTACCTGGATTCTATTGACCAGTTACATTCAGAGGCTGATGATAGATATGCCTGGATTCCAGATAAACTGCCACTAAACGTAAAGCTCATTGTGTCCTGTTACTCGGAATATAATCCTTTAACTACCAGATTGTTCAAACTAGCTGCAGATGCAGATAATTTTATACAGATGACGGATTTCAAGCCGGACGACTGCGCTGTTCTTCTTTTTCATTTTCTCAATCGAGTTAAGCGAACTATTACAGATAAACAGTTGCTAGCCGTGAAACATGTGTTTGAAAAATGCTCGTCGCCAATATTTGTGAAACTACTAGCGCATGAGTTAAAATCGTTTAAATCCTTTACTGAAGTTGATCAACTAAATTTGCCCACAAACATTGAAGAGGCACTGAAAAGACTTTTAACCAATCTTGAAAATCTGCATGGGCGTGTTTTTGTGGGAAAATGCTTGGGTTATTTAGTGTCATCCAATACCGGACTGAGTGATTCTGAAATGGAAGATATTTTGTCATTAGATGAAGAGGTTTTAGATGATGTATATCGAGATTACCAACCACCAATAAGACGGATATCACCGGCCAAATGGTTGTATTTAAAAGATAATATAGAAGGTTTTTTATATAGTTATGATACGGATGGTGTAACTGTTAATATGGTAAAACACGCCTGTTTCATCGAGCTTATTAAACGAAAATACCTTTATAATATTGATATTATACAGAAACAACATTCGGTTTTAGCTGATTTCTTTCTGGGAAGTTGGTCTGGTATTGCTAAACCTGTTAATTCGTTAACAGCATCAGAGCGATATGTCATAGCTCAACCACTTACATTCGATTATAGTGGTCTCGTTCGCTTTAACAAGAGGAAGTACGATCAGCTGCCGAGACATTTAAATCGAAGCGGTCGTCTGGATGAACTCAATCGACTCATTTTCTTTAATTACCAGTGGCTCTACAACAAAATAAAATCTCTATCATTGGAACATATTATAGAAGACTTTGTCCTGAATCCTAGCCAAGAAGCTTCGCTTGTAAAGGAAGCATTAAAGCAGTCCCAATCAACAATAAAAGATGATATAGACAATTTAGGTCCAGAATTAATCGGTCGTCTACTACCATATTATTGGGATAGCGTGCACATCCGAAGATTAATAGAACAATGTAAAATGGATGGGTGTCGCAACTGTGCCTTCATACCAAACATTCCCTATACGCGTACGGCGGGATCGGCATTAAAATCCACTATTACATGCCCAGTGGTACCAGAATATTTTGCCTTTGTTGATTCGGATAAGTATCTAATATGTAAAGCACGTGAAGATTCTAACGTGTACATATATAATGTATCGACTGGTAAATGTAAGGACAATATCTTTGCTTCTAATGGTGATCTGTATACAACACCTAATGGACAACTACTTATAATAGTTGATCATATTACAGAAGCTGTCATCAAGGTTCATGATACGAAGACCGGGACATTTATAGGCCAAATTATTCCACAATTATATATAGACAATACGGCTGGTGAGAGTTACAGTTTGGGACCTGTTAGTTTATCGAACGATACATTATGTGTCATCGCTATGGGTGCAGACTGCTCCTATTTATGTATTGCTGACCTCGTGGAATGCCAGGTAGTGAAGATGATATGGCTGGATGGGAAGGCGACATTTTGTCACATAAAACCAGATTATCGTCAGGTGTTTTGTAACTGTAGTGATACCTTGCTTGGATATGATTTGATTACTTATTTTCAGACCTGTAATATTCAGTTGGAATTCAATCCAAAGATCATGGTGTTCTCACACGATGCATCATTGGTTTACGTGGGTAGTACCGAGTCAACCACTGTCGTATGCATCAAGCTATCTAATTTCACCGTGGACTTACTGTTTAAACTGAATGTACGACACGAACTAAATAATCATCCTATACAAGACATCTGTGTGGCTAGAGATAATTTGAAAGTGCTTGTAAGGGGTAAATATGACATATTGGTTTATGATGAACATTTGATGACATTATACTCACAGATTAAACGACCAAGCGATATACCGGAGGAATTCAAACTACCAAAAAGTCATTTCCAGGAATTGGTATTCACTGATGCCCAGTTTAGCAGTGATAGTAGCTGCGTCTTGGCAGTTATCTTTAGAGCGGTGTATATATGGCGATTAGAAGGAGAAATGGTAACAACGGTACAAGCACCAGTTGGTATGATAACTTCATTATTGGTAGCCAAACATTCCCAGAAGTTTGTTACACATACAGATGGCTCTGCTGAAATACAGGTATGGAGCATTTCCAATACAACTGTTAACAAAACCAGTACTGAAAAGCTTACAGGAAAAGTGAAGAAAATTGTCGTGGATAAATTCGGCGAAATTGCATACGTTCAATGTGATAACAGTGATGAGATAGGTATTATTAATATGAAATCAGGACTATTGATAGGAATGTTAACCCACACAAGGAACGTGGTGGACTTTATGATCACCCCAACTGGCAAATATTTACTAGTTACAATAAACCCAAGATTAAGCAACTCGGCTGTTAATATATGGGATACCGAGAAACGTAAAGTCATAAAGGAATTTGGAAATGCTGTAGTTAAATGTGTTCCGTGTCATGAAAGGGAACAGTTATATTATATGTGCCAAAATGAGATTTCATATGAAGCTCCGTATTTCTTACATTCTATCAGCTTTGAAAACAGTAAGACACTCCAAATTAAACACTCCGCACCGTTAAAGTATATTTTAGACGATCCGTTCATTACATCCAATGATTGTTTCCTGGTAGTGCTGACTGCTGATGGCTACCAAGAGAAATCTGGACAATATGCAAATTTAGAAATGTGCGTTTTTGATCTTCAATCCAACTTAGCCTTACAGCGGTATACCCCCGATACAATATCTTCACCAACTATTATCCAGACTCTGATTGCTCTACGGCCATATAAAGCTTCAGAAAACACAGTTGCTATAATCTACAAGAGTGGGGAGTCAAAGATTGATGACACTGATAATGATGGTGATGGTTCAGCAACAGGTCTCTGTTTGTTCCACCTGAACAACCAACTCATAACCAAAGTGTTCCATCCTTTACCACATGCTGTTAGTAGAGAGATGGTTGCCAGTTACATCTTTTCCAACGACTTTACCTTCTGTCTGACAGATAAAGGAACATTAGTTCATCTGGAAGCTAGAAAGGAAACCAATTTAAGATTTACAGTACCATGTATTCTGTGTGTAAATGATACGGTTGTTGTCTATTGTAATGATTCGATATTATACGCTATCAGACTAACAGATAAAACACGGCTGGGAAAATGTAAAGTTCATTCTACCATATGTTATCTGAAACAATGTCCAGATGATAGTGTGATATTGGTAGGGTGTACAGATGGTGCGGTATTATCATATACATTAAGTAATGAAGGTATAGGGGATACAGGTATAAGCTGGGGCAATGATAAAGAAGAGAGCGGAAGGAAATCTATCACCTGGGATAAACTTCATTCAGAGGATGATATCATATGTTCCCGTCCACCAACAGTTACTTGCCATGGTCCACAAGACAAAACGAATCTCGACCAAATAAAACCCCTGCCCCAAATGCTCAGACCTGTTTCAGCATGTTCAACACACTCAGTTATCAATTCTAAAACATGCGTGTTAATGTAAGATAACCAATATGGACTAGTTATCCATGGATGTATTTATAGTTTTAATGTGAGATAACAAGTATCGATTAGTTATCCATCGATGTATTTATACTTTTAATGGAGATAACAAGTATCAACTAGTCATTGATGGATAGTTTTATAGTTTTAATGTGAGATAACAAGTATCGACTAGGTATCCATGGATAGTTTTATAGTTTTAATGTAAGATAATCAATATCGACTAGGTATCAATGGATGTATTTATAGTGTTAATGTGAGATAACAAGTATCAACTAGTTATTGATGGATAGTTTTATAGTTTTAATGTGAGATAACAAGTATCGACTAGTTATCCATCGATGTAGTTATAGTTTTATAATATAATATATTATATCATGTAGGCCTATGGAATTTGGCCTGTATTCCCTTTGTAGACAGATCCAGCTTTATGGCGAATTTGTCTTTTAGCTTAATTTTGAAAAGTGCGTTCAAATTAAACTTCTTGTTATAGTACCGCGTCGGTCCATTATCAGATAACACAATTTGTGTACAGAGACATACCAATCTGTTACCTTTTGAAAATTAGGACTAATTGTTTTAGGAATCGTTATTTTCTAATAAATATGCTTGTAGATCTCATAATAATTTTGTATATTCCATTTAAAACGCAAGAAGTTGGAGATTCCAAGTGAATCCTAGGTATAGCAATTAGAATTTATATTATAGTTCAGAGGATAGAACTTTTGAGATAAACATTTTCTGGAAATCTTTGTGATAAACATTCTCTGAACTATTGAGATAAACACTTTCTGGAACTTTTGAGATAAACATTCATTATATGGAACTTTTGAGATAAACACTCATTCTATGGAACTTTTTAGATAAACTCTTTCTGGAACTTTTGAGATAAACATTCTCTGGAACTTTTGAGATAAACTATTATTGACATTCCTGTCTTGTCATGTTTCTTATTAAGTGATATTCGTGCTCGTAGAAGTTTTTATTGTTGTATTTATTTAGGTATTCCTTAAAATCCCAACAAGATATTTTACTTTAATGAAATGCAAAGGTTGTGATATGTCGAATTGGCTATAACTTTTCGGGCAAATACTCTTACACTGCGCCTGCACGTACTTACACGCCGCTAGAGACTCGAGACGGACGGCTTTTCTCAAAGACAGTGACACACGCAGATTAAAGCAAGCTACCAATCGAAAGGGAGCGATGCAATGTAGTAGTAGCTTTCGATCTATATTAATTTACAATCAGTTTAATTCTGTGACAGTTACACACTGAAATAAAAGCCAAATTACATAATCAAACGTGCTCTTACAATCATCTTAGGAAAAAGCCTTCTTCAAACACTATAGTTGGGTACGAGACCTAAAAACTGTGACCAATTTGCGGGGAAGTTGTTTTGACGGTGGTTTCTATATGAAAAAAACCTTCTGAAGCGAATAAGCTTGGGTGCCTCTCTCTCTAAAATGCTGGCGGAATCCACTAGAGGGCCAAATTCAAAATGGCGGCCAGATTTGGCGGGAAAATATAAAATTGTTTAATATAAGCTTGTGAGGTGTCTATTCGTATGTTTTAAGGGTCTCTGAATCGAAATATAATTAAAAATCCATGACATTTCAGGTCTGGATTAAATCGTATTGTTTTTTTTAGCCCACTATTTTACCTACTACCTCTTAAAGAGGGAATCACGTGGCTAAGCGGGTAAGACACTAGCTCGCTAGCCTGGAGGTCGGGTGTTCGATCCCTGCATTGGCCGAGAAAGTTCATCCAGATTTTCCGGCGTGGTTCTCCCTTGTCAGTGATGCAGGACGGAGGGGCTGACAAGGAAAGCTGTCTAGTCGTTCGGATGGGACGAAAAACCGAGGTCCCGTGTACACATTGGCGTGGACGTAAAATTTCCCTCATAGCACACTGTATGGCGTAGGCCCGTCTTCATTAGCCCAGCATAGGAGCAGAACAGTAGGACGTTAAACTCCATTTCATTTCATTTCATTTCACCTCTTAAACATACATTATGTAAGATTTGGATAAAGAGCTGACCATTCTTGTTATAATGGCCCAAAAATAGATAATGAAAATTTCATTCAAATTACTTCATTCTGAGCCAAGTTATCATTGTTTGTAGTTTTGACAAGATGTGTGCATTGTGGTAACCAGAACACTGGTATATTCGAGACTTAGCCTCGCTTTCCATTTTTTAAATTAAATTTTTAAATGGCGAACCGTTCTAATCTAGTTAAAATCTCGAGTATCCGATGCCATCGAGGGTTGATCATGGTCTGGATAAGTTAATTAATGTCTAATTAATAATTTATATAACATTTCAGGCCTAAAGAAAGACCAGCACTTAAACTACACTTAATATTATCAGAGAGGGTAACTCAAAACCGTCGGCTCCATTGATGCTTTAATCCTATACTATATTACATTTATTCTTAAACGAACTTCAACTAACTTAAAATAACTTTTTATTGGAATATTACGTCCATTATACAAAACATACAAAACATACACATACATCAATATACATGTATACAAAAATATATTTTACATGAAATAACATGATATAATGAACTGAAAATATAATGAGATATATACATGTACCATTGGGATGATAACTATGATTGATTGAGCATCCATGTAACTATTGATATGTATAATATAACATATGTGCCCATGGGGTTTATCGTCCTACTGTTCTGTTCTGGCTGGGCTAATGAAGACGGGCATACGCCATACATTGTGCTATGAGGGAAATTTCGCCTGGGTGGCGGCACTATGGCCTACTCTTATATCGAATTCCATCTGACAAGAAATCTTTTACGTGCACGCCAATGTATACGCGCACCTAGGTTTTTCGTACCATCCGAACGACTAGACAGCTGTTCTTGTCAGGCCCTCCGTCCTGCACTACGGACAAGGGGAAACCACGACGGAAAATCCGATGAACTTACAAATAGAGAAAGGAAGGTATAGCAATATTGAAAGAAGTAATAGAACATATAAATCTTCTAATCGTGATGAAATTGAAGACGAAAGTTAGAAATGGGGTTTAACGTCCACTCGGTACAAAGTAGGTCATTTCAGGACTAACATATGGTTCAATTATATTTCAATAATTCGCTTGCGCGTAGGGGTCTTTAGCAGTAGGAGGAAACCGGAGGACCCGGAGAAAACCTACGAGAAAACCTCCTTTTCACGTACAACCGAGGAATGTGAAGACGAGTTTGATGCTCTATTAGTTTGATCATATTATAAGTATTTCAGATAGAAGTATACTGAACTCTAATACTGGTTAAAACTGACAGTGCTATACAGTGGCATTGCTATTAAAAAGGACCAATATATAATATCCCACGCCATCTGAGACCATTTCTGTTTCGTCTTTGTCCCGAGGCTAACAATTTTAGATTTTATTCAGATGTTTCGAGTTCATTCAGTCCTCGTCATAATGAAAAACACTTAAACTTTTTGATTTTTTGTTATGACCGAACTAGTCCTGTTTAACGTTCACTTCTACTGAATTGATTTTAAAACAATCTATGACATTTTAATTAAACTGTATATATTTACAAGTGTGATTAAATAGATAAAACGGATAGTTGATAATTATATATATGGACAAAACAAGTAAAAACAGCGTATTGATTCTTTGTTCTGTCTACAAGCAATTAATAATAAAAAGCTTGATCCCCCATTAGTAACAGCGCAGAATCGAGATTTAACTATTTAATATTGGTGTCTGTCATTATCACATATGAGATAGAACTGGTTAAACACATTCCAAATATTATTTTAACACAGTAATCATTGCTACGATAGATGCGTAATGCAGGTTTCAACAATCGGAAGTGACTAACCCAAAAGGAAGACACGAGTTATCTTTCTATATAACTGACTGAAGTGATCGATACACGGGCGAATTTCTGCTCACTGATAATTCCTTCGAAGACCAAAAGTTGTTGTGTGAGACTGCGAGAAGATATCTGACAATTCATAAAAAGAATTGACTGTCACTAGGTAAGAGAACATGAAAGAAAATATAAAAAGTCCGTGCATTACCATGTTTTTATTAAGTATAGAATGAATATAAACAAGGGAATGTACGGGCTATTTCTATTTTTCTCGTGTACTCTTATCTAATGACATTCAATTACTTTTTTAGCTGCGAAATACTGGTTGCGTTGACCAGGTTAGCAGCTAAGCCCCCTGGATGCTTTAATAATATCAGAATAAATTGACATTAATATAGGGAACTACATTAAAGAACTTTTAACTAACTTTAAAGCATGTGGTACCTTTTGGACGAACAGTTTTTAATATGTAAATAACCCACGGGTCCAGCTATGTGGTTTTTACTGCGAGCACTTTCCTTTTCCTTTTTCAAATTTGGTGTGAAGCGTTAGGGTGATGACGAGACGATCCCCTATCGATATTCAGTGTTCCGTGACATTCTGTTCCGGGGTTACCGCCCTTCTCCGAAAATTTTTTCAACGCGACAGAGGCTACAGTTTGAAAAGATTTCTTGATTTGGAACACAGGGGTAATGTGAGGATGAACCTGTCGATATTCAGCGCTCCCGTGCCTTTAGTTCCGGAGTTACCTCCCCTTTGTCGGAATCTTTCTGAACTGAACACAAAAGAGGCCACAGTTTTTGTTTTCCAGATTTGACGTGAAGCATTAGGGTCATGGGTGGACGACTCCTACTGATATTTAGAGTTTCGCGAGACCTTTCGTTCCTCCTCCACCACCGTGTAAGCCCGTGAAGACTATGTTTTTTTTCAAAATTTAATGTGAAGCGAAATAAAATAAAACGTGGTTTAACGTCCTACTGTTCTGCTTCGAACTGGGCTAATACGCCATACAGTGTGCTATGAGGGAAATTTTGCCCGGACAGCGGCACTACGGTCTACTCTTATATTGAATTTCAACTGTCAAGGGATCTTTTACGTGCACGCCAATGTGTACACGGGACCTGGGTTTTTCTTTCCATCCGAACGACTAGACAGCTGTCCTTGTCAGGCCCGCAGTCCTGCATCACTGACAAGGAGAAACCACGAAACCACGCCGGAAACTCTGGATAAACTTTCTCGGCCAATGCAGGGATCGAACATCCGACCTCCAGGCTAGCGAGCCAGAGTCTTACCCAATTAGCCACCGTGGCCCCTAAATGTGAAGCATTATGACTGAGAATATTGACCCTATTTTTATCAAGAGCATGCGTCTCAAGGATACATGGGCAAAGTAATTGTTTTTAGTAGTCTGTGATATTTATTTTGTAATCTTTTAATGGACTATTTCTTTAGATTTTCGTTTTGTAGCATGTTATATTCATAACACTATTTTGGAAAGCGTCTTTCAAAAATAACCCAAAGCTAAGCCACCCCCCCCCCCCACCTCCGATTTTGTTTTTAACTTTCTGATGAATCCTGAACTTGTGGTCCTTCATGGTGAAGCAGAGTCAAGTTTCGTTCAATACGACCAACGGGTCTATCTCTCCTAGGTATTACGGGCCCCAGATAATGGCGCCATCTTGACAGGACCATGGAGATGTAAAAGAGTATCTTCCGTTCCGTGGTGAAAGATCGATAAATTGGCCCCAGTTTGTACAGGCAAACACAATTTAAAGTAGCTAAGTCCCTAACGCAATATCATCCACAGTGTTTGGCATTACAAACACGACTTATTGGTCAATTTAAATCAACATTGATGTTGTTATCTTACCGAGAAAAGATGAGTTTCTGATATTCAATATTTAAGACAAAATGAAAATTTTAAAATTGGCACACCAGTCGCGTGCCTGAATGCTTTCGCGCGCCATATATAATGAAGCGACCACAATAAGCGAGGCTGAACATACCCCACAGAATAGACCAGAATAACCAAACGCCAAAGACTGCCGAACATAACAGATTAGAAATTACAGTAACAA